GAGGGGCCACAGAAAGCGCCGCCCATCCCGCCAGATAGCGCGATGCTGCTGCCGGCCGGGGGGGCGCAGGAGCCGGAGAGCCCATCTGTTGCACGGGGCGTCGGGAGCGGCGCGCGACGACGACAGTGGCCCTACCGCGCCTCTTCTCCCTGTCCTCCCGCGCCTCCCCTGCCCTCTCTCCTTGGAGTCTACCTCCGTCCCTCCTTCCCTCCCTTCCCTCTGCCTCCTCCCCTTCCTCCTCCCGCTCCCATTTGCCCTGCCCCCCTCCTCCTGCCTTTCCTCTTGAGGGTTTGCCTTTCCCGCTGCCTCCTGAGGAGATCCAGGAGGAGGAGGAGGAGGAGGCGGAGGAGGAGAAGGATGATGATGATGATGATGATGATGATGCTGATGATGCTGATGATGATGCTGATGATGCTGATGATGATGATGATGAGGAGGAGGAGGAGGAGGAGGAGGAGGAGGAGGAGGAGGAGGAGGAGGAGCCCCACCTCCCGTCAGGAGCCGCACCGCGCTCGTGAGGGCTGGCGGGCCCGAGGACTCGGAGGGGGAGGGCGACACGAGCGAAGACGGGGAGGAGGCGGCCACGCACGCGCTCTTGCAGCCGCGGGCGGAGCAGGACCTCCCTCCTGGAGTCAGGGAGGAGGGGCTGAAGAGGAGGAGGAGGAGGAGCTAAAGAAGAGGAGGAGCAGGATGAGGAGGAGGAGCTGAAGAAGAGGAGGAGGAGGAGGAGGAGGAGGAGCATGAGGAGGAGCATGAGGAGGAGGAGGAGGAGGAGGAGGAGGAGGAGGAGCTTCCGGAGTGGAGGAGGAGGAGGAGGAGGAGGAGGAGGAGGAGGAGGAGGAGCTGAAGAAGAGGAGCAGGAGCAGGAGGAGGAGCAGGAGCACGAGGAGGAGGGGGAGGAGGAGGAGAAGGAGAAGGAGGAGGAGGAGGATGGATAAGAGAATGAGGAGGAATAATAATAATAAGAAGAAGAAGATGGATGTGTCTGGTTGTTCCAGGAGAAGGGGAGGTGCCTGGACGTTCTGCGGGGGCCTGCACGGACCCCGGCCGAGACCTCGGAATGTTTCTGGAAGCCCTCGGGCCCCCCGGCCCTACCTGGTCCGCGGCCTGCCGCTCTGCAGATGCGGGCGCACAGGCTGCGCCACGAAGGTTCGAGGAGCACGAAGGGAAAGAGGAGCTTGGAACGAGAGGAGGAAGATGAGGGGCAGTAGGAGGGGACCAATGGAGGCCGCATCCCCTGTGGAGGGTGTGTGCACCGTATGTAATGTACATCTTTACCTCCACCACTGCCCCTTCCGGCTCGCAGGGTGTTGACGTTGCCGCTGCCAGTACTCTCAAATCGAGAGGAGGAAACATCGATCGTCTCCATCATACGGGTTACAGGTAGGGTTAGCTCTCTGATCCGTCCCACCCATTCACGGAGGGAACCAGTGGTTCAGACTTGGAGGAGGAGGAGGAGGAGGAGGAGGAGGAAGAAGACAGGAACCGAGAGGAGGGGCAGTGTAGCAGGAGGGGGAACACTACATATATATATATATATATAGAGAGAGAGAGAGAGAGAGCTATACGTCATATGGGTAGTATTGGTGGTAGTACGCAGCCGCTGAACAGCCCATGAGCGACAGTGAAGACGTGTAGATCTGTTCAGTCGCAGGTCCACGCACGGCAGCTACGCAGAAGGTTCGCACTGGCGCGGGCACGCGCGGCGGCAGGGCCGAACGCCCACGACGCAGGGGGACCGACCGAGAGGGCCGGCACCGACGGGGAGCAAGGGGGCCGAGGGGCCGAGGGGGCGAGGCGACCACAAGGAGGCGAGCCGAGGGCACAGCAACTGGCTCCACGCAGCCGCGCGGTGCGCATCCGCAGGCTGCCCGTGCCTGCTGCGGGCACTCGCCGCTTCCCGGGTGCCGCTGCGGCACAGCGGCGCTCCCGGGTGCGGCGCAGTGCGTGGCGGCACCGCATCCGTGACGCTCGTCGGACAAGGGCGAGACCGCGGCGCACACGCGGTCGGCGTCGGCGGTCTTGGGCAGGGCTCCGTTCGAGGCCGCGAGCACGAGCCAGGCCTTGGGCACGGCGATCCGCGCCGGTGCCTCTTCCTCGGTGTAGCCTGAGGGTGCCGAACCGACCGAGACCACGCAGTCCAGGGCCTCGAATGAGTCTGTCGGTATGTCTGCCTTGGTCGCCGACCGAGAGGACGATCCTCACCGTGCCGTCCCGGTAGCAGCTCTCGAGCTCGCAGAGCTTGACAGAGCCGTACGGGTCGCCGACCAGCGCCGTTGCCTACGCTTCCAGGGCAATCCTGTGAGCCCTGCCGATCTTCGCGCCCACGATCACGGAAGGAAAAACCACCCAGACCGGACAATTGGCGTTTAGTAAACGGCCCTGGGCGTTTACTAAACAGCCCTGCCCTGTTTGATTCCTCCTTTGGCTGCGTTTACTAGACGGCTTCGCGTGTCGGGGTGGTGATTATCGGGGTGGATATTCTACCCTCTACTCGAGCGCCTCGGGGGTGGGAGGGCCGAGCTTGCGCAGGTTCTTGCACGTCTTCGTCCGCCCGTGCCTCGGCCAGTCTGTCTGCGCTCTTGGCCGCCTCCTTCACCTCGCCGCTGTTCGTGCGCACGTCCTGGGCGGCTGCGGCGGACTTCGACACCTCCTGCGTGGCCTTCACTACCTCGCCGTCCGCCTCGATGAGGATGGCGCGCGTCAGGGTGCAAGCCTTCCCGCGGCTGCGCGGGGTGAGCTGGGCGACCTTCGTGCGGGAGGGGGAGCAGGATGAGGAGGAGGAGGAGGAGGAGGAGGAGGAGGAGGAGGAGGAAGAGGAGGAGAAGGAGGAGGAGGAGGAGGAGAAATGACGCTACGGGTGGGAGCTCGCCCAGCAGCATGCCTAAGAAAGAAGGAAGAAGAGGACCAGTGCAAGCCCAAGACGCATCGACGACGCTGCAATAAATCCTCCCTCCATGTTTCCGTGTCATTGGCCCCCTACACGAAGCTATGTTCACTTCGAGATACGCCCCAATGCAAGACAACAGTCTTAGCATCCTCAATCGTGCCAAAGCATCATACCTGTGACTCCAACGCCGCGAGAAGTGATGGATCAGCCACGCGCAGAGGGGGTAGGAGGAGGGGGTCAGGCTGTTTAGAAGCACCCCTGCTTCTCATAAGGCGCGGGCCTCACTTATGGGTGCAAATCTGGCGCCTTCTAAGAGGCAGCCTCCTTCCGAGAAGCCTTCCCCCCTCCCCTACCCCCTTGCGCGCGCCGCCAAGATCCGGGCAGCTCCTCCTCCGCCTCCTCCTCCTCCTCCTCCTCCTCCTCCTCCTCCTCCTCCTCCTCCTCCTCCCCCGTGTGCACGCCGCCACATGGAGCCCCTCTCAGGGCTGCGCCCTCCGTGGTGCCGCTCGCGATCCGGAGCGCCCCCGCGCCTGCGGCCGCTCCTGCGAGCGGCCCTCGCGCGAGCCGCCGCGCCCTTGCTGCCCGCGGCTCCGCGAGCGGCTGTGCCCGCGGGGAGCCTCGATACGCTGGCGCCCTCGGGCGTGCCCCCCACCGGTCGCGGGCGCCGTCCTCGGAGGGTGCCTCTCGTGACGCCGGCGTCCTCGGACGTGCCTCGCCGCGTGGGCGTCCTCTGCGCGCCGGCGTCTCCTCGCGCGGGGGGCGCCGCGCCCTCTCGCTGCCCGCGGTCGTCGGCGACCTCTCGGACGTGCCCCCGGCCGCGGGCCGAGCCGACGAGGCCGCCGCGCGGGAGAGACTCGCCTTCTGTTGCTCCCATCTTTCTTAACTTAAAGGCCACCTTATAATACTTAAAATGCCTTCTGGGAGATATGGTCCTTCAAGGACCACATCCCAGAAGGCATCTTGAGCACCCAGCAAAGTATCGAGGCAGTGTCGAACGAGCATCGCCTCCCGGGCCCGACGCGGAAAAACCCTCAAGATTCGGTACAGTCGGGGCGCTGAAGAAGGAACCCTTTTCGTTGGGGAGGGGCTCGGTGTTCCTTGACTGCTTCGCAGTTTGCCTCAGGTTTTCCTTGGTTTTCGATAGGAAGTCGAAGTTTAACTTCTGGAGAAAAGGGGCCTCGTTCCTTATTTTGGGTTCCTTAGGTCAACGCCCCGACGGTACTTTCCTGGTGCCCGAACTTTTTCCTTTGATCGGGGCTAGCGTTGGTGGGGCTATCAGACGGCGCGCCGCCGATCCCCGCAGGGCGGGCCACCACCAGCGCACCCTGCAGGCGCCCCCCGCCAGCCTGGAGTTCGGGCACGTCCCTCTACAGGAGCAACATCCAAAAACAGTTGAACAAATTGTCGGGGGACGATGTTTCTATCATTCTTGACCATTTTTGAACATTTCTGGACTATTCACAAAAACTGTCGCCCAAAATCCGCCTGTAGGAGGACATGCCCGACCTGACGCCAGCCCTGCTCCCCATGGCAGCCGACGGTGGTTGCCGCGGGAGACGAGGAGGCCACGCTGAAGTCCGCGGGCGCCGAGTGGCCCGAGTCAGTCAGACGCCGGTCCGCCAGCGGTGGGGTGCACCGGGAGCGGATCGAGGCACGAAGGCGGAAAAGAAGCGCGCAGCAGGCCACCGGCAGATCTTCACTTCCTCGGAGCCTCGGGCCAGCGCCGCCGGCGAGGAGGAGGTGGGCCGCGGGGCGCGGCGCGGCCGACGACGGCCATAGGGTGACCCCCTCCTGCGTCAGCGGCAGGTGTGAGCACAAATGAGCACAGAAGGTGAAGATGATCACACATGGCAGTGATAGTCGTTCAGCTCCTTACGGACGTGCGGGTACACGATGTTGTTGCGTATGCATCGTCCAGCGTGCAATACGATACGTGTCATAGAGCCTCCGTGCGATTCTGGAATCTGGTGCTGCAGTTGGTGCACGCGTGTGTAGGTGTGACTGCGTGAAAGATTCTGCACCCACCATGTCCCTCCCACGAGCTCCGACAGACGTGCGCAAGAAGTGCAGGCCGTTCTGGGATCTCCTTGCCACCCCAGCCCCCACGATG